AGAGTGAGAGAGAGAGTGAGAGAGAGAGAGAGAGAGAGAGAGAGAGAGAGAGAGAGAAGGTTGTGTACCTGTTCACTAGCGGATGGTACACTGCATGAACTTGCTGTACTCCCTACACTAGTAGGAGATGGCAATGGAGAGAAGTTACCAGAAGGTACCGGAGACTTTTGATGATGCTAAAAAATAAAAGAAAATACATTAAATATCTCATTGAATGTGGGTTCACACAATCTCTCTCTCTCACTCCTCCCTCTCTCTCTCTCTCTCTGTCACTCTCTTTCTCTCTCTCTCTCTCTCTCCCTCCTTCTCTCTCCCTCCCTCCCTCTCTTCCTCCCCCCCTCTCTCTCTCTCCCTCCCCCTCTCTCTCCTTCTTTGTACTGATAATGTCATGCACAGAGTACACTACACTCAGTGCTCTAGCACAAAAATATCATCAAAATAAAATTTAAAGCACTAAACATCATTACAGTGCCACATCATTCAAACACACGTGCACACCAAGGTGATTTCAATAAAATGAGAAACAAGTTCATGAACCATTCCCCTATCCTCTCTCTTTTAGTCTCAACACTGAGTCATGCAATAGGTAACCACATCCAACCAGCCACCAATCAGCCACCAGAAACCAAAACATACCCAGAGGCACTATCGGACATATTCTAACAATTAGTTTAAAGCATTAATTATTATTTCATTTGATGTGCATTGATTGAACTGTAAATGAGATTTTGTAATCTCTGCTGAGTGTAACTGGTAGCAAACAAACCCAACGAGCAATTATCCTGCATTACATGTACATTGACATGCAGCTGTGTACCAACAGATCCAAAACTGAATGATAATATATTCCCTTACGTTAAACAAAGGATGTACCCACCCTATGGAAAGGTCACCATTTTTAAAACAAACAAATTAGATGCTTGTTCACCATATACAAGGGACTAACCACTCTTAGTCTCTTTTCCCATCCCCTCCCATTCTCTCCTTCCCCCCCTCTCTCTCTCCTTCCTCCTCTCTCCCCCTCTTTCCCTCTCCCTCCCCCCTCTCTCTCTCCTCTCTTTTTCTTGTCCACTAACCTTAGAAGAAGTATTAAAGACATCTTGTAATTCCTAGATGACAAGGAAAGTAATTTTAAAAAGGAGAGAGAGAGAGAGACAAAAGGAAGGAGATCCAAATATGCATGATAATAATGGAATATGAAGAGAGAGAGAGGAACTTGCATTACCTTATAGAGCTGGTGGACATTGTACTGCCTAAGAGTATACATCCTCCACAGTAACACAGAATGACACCTTAAACTGCAAGTATAAATAAGTGTACATTAAATTATCAAAATATACATGTACATGTACATAGTAACATTTAAATCAAGATACATGCTGCACATGTACATGTACATATGTACATGTATGTACTTTTTAACATAGACATTATTATGTACTATCAATAGTATTATTATTCTATGTTAAATGTGCATGTACATGTACATGTACATGTATGTTAATTGCATGTTCTCTTCCTCTATTACTCTCCCTCTCTCTCTCTCACCATAGTATCAGTAGTGGTTTGCATTCGCTCCCCATTTTAGAGCAGTACTTGACCATGTTAACAATGTCCGAGTATATCTTGTAAGCTCCACCTCTACTGCTGCTGCCACTTACACTTAAATCAGTCTGAGACAAAACAAGAAAAATCAAATTTACAATTTCCGTTTTTTCTCTCTCCCCCTCTTCCCACCCTCTCCCTCTCTCTCTCTCCCTCCCTCTCTCCCTCTCCCCTCCCTCTTCTACCTCCTGTGAGTAGCCATGCCTCATAAAATAAGTCACGGCTTCCATGTACTTTAAAGCTTTACGAACAGCATCATTAGGCTATTAATGTGTGGAAAGAAAGAGAGAAGAAAATTAGTTAATATACATAATATACACATACACACAACACATACACGTACATATGTACGTGATCATAAGCAGAAAAGTATGTACATGTACATTACATGTAGTAAATGCCATGAAAGTTAGAAATTTTTCTAACTCTAGCATAATGATGGCCTAGCTGTATTCATTTTCATTTTAAGGTACATGTAAGTCCTTTAGTTAGAATGGAGTCAATAGCTGCAGTACATGTACAGTGCATCAAAAGTCGAGGACTTTATTGTTTACTCTTGCAAGTAAAGGCACGTGTCCGATTGATCATATCATATATCACCTCCAGCCAATAATTAATTACTAAAAACATGATAACGACAGCTGCAAAAATAACACGGCAGCTGCAAAAATAACACGGAGCCCGCTAGCTGTACTTCAAAGGGATAATAGGGATTCAAAACAAGCTTTTTAATTGTACAGGGTTATATAACGATTATCATAGCAGAGTTTAATGTGGGTCTAAATGCCCACAGAATCAGAAAAGTGCTCCACTAAAATTGAAATGACTGCAATGTTGCAATGTTACATCAGAGGGACACCAGCAGAGCATGAAAGAGATACATTCTACACCCATCCAGACAAGGAGGCATTCGAGTTATGCACTTTTAAGTAATGGGCTACAATTGAAAACACGTGACATCATCGGTCATGCATAGTAACGATAAGCAACAAAATGAGGAATCAACACAAGACTATACTACATGTATGTCCCAACTGAGAATGGACCGGAAGTGGAAGCAGCTGCATTGGAATTTGAAAAATGTATCTACGTCACTAATGAAGCATTATAATGATATTCATAGAGACATGGCCGATATTTTGGCTATCTTGTTTCACTCTTAAAACAGTCTTGTTATTCCTGATAAGCAGTACAATAGCTCCTGGAGTCAACTAGTCTTCATAAAGGCCATCATTATTAGAAGATCTCGCTCTATTAGCATTTTAAAAGAAGAATTATCAGTTTGGGCGCTCGACCACATGTGCTTATGTAAACTATGACATCATAAAACGTCATTGCGGTTAGCTTTGATATGCCATTGGGTTTATAGGGGGAACCTGGTTCTCAGGGTTCCCAAGGGATGAGAGACCCAAGACCTGAGATCCTGAAGCGGCATTGGGCGACTAAGATCCTGTGAAAGTCTCATTCTTATCCCACATTCCTATAAAAAGTTATTCCAGTTTTTCTTGGTCCAAACTCAGTTGGGACATAGTATATATGTACTACAAGCTATTGTATTATTATTATTATTATTATTATTATTATTATATTATTCATTTATATTATATTATTTATTTATTATTATACTATTTAATTGTACATGTACTACTTTTTCATTTTTTTTACGTTTTTTAAATTCTACATTGTACATGTAAAATCTCTCTATCTCTTTTTTTTACTAATCTCTTAGTAATGTAATGCACAATATGATTTTTTGTTACTCACCGGAAGTGAATCAGCTTCTCTCTTGAGTGATCTAGCCCTCTCATAATAAAGCTGAGGATTGACATGTCTGCTTCTAATAGACAAGATATATATACATGTATACATGTATATAAATACCTTAAGGTTACTTTTAAATGCGGGTACTATTAATTGCGAATTTTGCGTTTGGGTTAAAAATCGCAATTATTAATAATGACGTCATGATGCCATATAACTATTAGTAATAATTACTTAATCGTAATTTTTAATACCAGCAAAATCTACCTTGTGCTAAAATTGCAAAATTTAGTACCAGCAATTAAAAGTCACTCTAAGGTAATGTGAAAATAGAAAATAAATTACATGTACATGTACATGTATATTGAAGTTATATGTACATGTACATGTACATGTACATGTATGTAGTGTGTTACCTTTCATTGGTTGAGTTGCTTTCGTGGTACCAATGCTCATCGTTAGGTCGGTTTCCAGGGGGCGGGGTTTCGTTCCAATGCCTCTCCCCACCTCCTTCTCTATGAGATCGGCTGTAATCGTTAGACCAGCCCCTAGGGACGAGGAAGAGAAGAGAAAGAATGAAATTGAGTGTCGTTAAAGAAATGGTTTACCTGTGGTCACTGTGATGATAAGTATCTCGATAAGAGTGACTGGAATCCTACACACAAAAAAATTTTTTTAATAATAATAAAAAATAAATAATAACCAAAATATAAATGATAATAAAAGAAATAATAACTAAAAAATAAATAGTAATGAAAAAATTAATAATAATAAAAAATAAAAATAAATAATAATCAAATAATAATAACCAAAAATAAATAATAACCAAAAAATTAATAACAGTCAAGAAAATAAATAATAATCAATGATCAAAAATAAAAAATAATCAAAAATAAATAATAATAAGAAACAACAAGTACATGTACTTACAGAAACTGATCCTGTCCTCTTACTGTCTGATATGTGATAAGGACCTACTGTTGCCTATAGCAGACAATAAAAATATTATTTAACTATAACATAAGTAGATTGAAATAAACAGGGACTTTGGCCCAATATTGAAGAAACTTTATAAATTCGTAAATAAACCTAAATGTGATCAGAATCAGCTCAAACTTTCTACACAACATAAAACCATGTATATGTATTAGGAAAAATTATAAAAATGAAGAAATATTAACTTGTCAATTTTGGCAAAATTCGGCCCGTGACCGTGTACTATAGTACAGGGACTTTGGCTCAATTTTGGAGCAACTTTAAAAATTCATAAAAAATCTAATTTTGATTGGAATCAGCTCAAACTTTCTACACAACATAAAACCATGTATATGTAATAGAAAAAAAATATAAAAATGAAGAAATATTAACTTGTCAATTTTGGCAAAATGCAGCCCGAGATCGTGTACTATAGTACCGGGACTTTGGCCCAATTTTGGAGCAACTTTAAAAATTCGTAAAAAATCTAATTTTGATTGGAATCAGCTAAAACTTGCTACACAACATAAAAACATGTATATGTATCAGGAAAAATTATAAAAATGAAAAATTCTTTTCTTTTCAATTTTGCCAAAATTTGGTCCGTGACCCTGTACTATAGTACAGGGAATTTGGCCCAATTTTGGAGCAAATTTAAAAATTCATAAAAAATTTAATTTTGATCGGAATCAGCTCAAACTTTCTATGCAACATAAAACCATATATATGCATGAAAAAATTATAAAAATTGACACATCTCAAATTTTTAATTTTGGTAAAATTTGGGCTCGGACCATGTACTATAGTACAGGGACTTTAGCCCAATTTTGGAGCAACAGTAAAAAATCTTATTTTTCTTGGAATTAGCTTAAACTTTCAGCACAACATAAGTACATGTACATGTATATGCATCAGGAAAAATTATAAAAATTGAGAATCCTCTCCTTTTTATTTTTGGGCAAAATTTGGCCTGAGACCATGTATGGTTTTGGCCTGGTTTTTGAGCAACTTTAAAAACTCATAAAAATGTAATGTAAAATATTCTTTTTAATGTGCTATATTCCATAATCCCTGATTGAAACTTCAACCTGCTCCTATATTATTTTAAATTTTAAATGACAAATATATTACACATTAATATCACTAATTCATTCTTCACTATCACCATTACAAAAGGTTTCTTTCTTATCAATAATACTATCATTACTATCCAGTTACCTGTGGCTTAGTCTTCTGGGGTACTTCAACTTTAGCGAGAGAAATCTGAACAACAAGTTCCGAGACATCTTTGCCCCTCCCCTCAGAGAGGTGTGGCTTACTATGCCTGTATGCCGTTGGATCATCACTCCCTACCCTGCTGTTAGAAAAGTCCTGGACTTCAGACAAATGAATCTTCTTGTCATCTCTCTCCTGATGACTCGCATTTTGACGCCTTTTCCGAGCGTTCTCAGAATGACGTCGCTTCTTTGGATGAGACGAACCCCTCTCACCATGCGACTGCTGATGGGCGTGGCCGGAATGAGATTGACTGAAATTACCGAGTGCGTATTGAGTTCCAGTAGGTGTAGGCGTGGCACTTTCGGGCTCGTATGTAAAGGGCCTCGATTCTTGTCGCCGAGTGTGGGTGTGGTCAAACGAAGAATGTTGGGCGGGGTCGAATGGTTGGGTGTTTCCCTCACCGGACAAAACCGAGTTATGGGCAGCCTCGGACTGGAGAGGTTGAGACTCTGATTCCGATTCCGAATCAGAATCGGAATCAGAATCAGAGTATGAATCAGAATCACTTGATGCGTGATCGTTAGCATTTGACGGAGCCGTGGAAGAAGGTGGTGGGGGGAATGGGTGCGGGAATTTCGCTGGCGATAGATTAGCGGATTCATCCGTTGCCGGTAGCAACAGGGAGCGGTGGAGAGTGGGTGGAGAGGACTTCAATGGAGTTATGGTGTTAAGGGAAGGATTCAACTCACGTCTTATCTACACACAAAGGAACAATCAATGAATAATTAATCATAATATTAATATTGAATTAATTATAAAAGGATATTTTTAATCAAAAATTAATATTTATCAAAAATCAAGAAGTACCACAAAGTATTTTGGAAAGCATCACCAGTTCAATTTTCAAAAATTGGCACATTTCAACTGTAGTACAAATCCACTAAGAACTTTTTACATTCCATATAAGTAAATTACTATTAATACATGTACATAAATTCAAATTAAGGCAATAGTAAAATACATTATACATGTACATTTCGTACACACAATACATTAAAACTCAATATAGCGCATTTACTATAAGCTATCAACCACACCCATTAATTTAAAGATTACCGAGATTAACTCTGTGTACAGTCAAACCTCTCTAAGACGGACACCTATGGGCCAGCCATCACTGTCCTTTATACAGAGGTGTCCTTAAATCGGAGGTTATCCCATGCTAATCACACCAAAAAATCCGCCATTTTCTTGATGCACGTTAATTAGAAAGTCCATTGCGTGGGCCGCGTTCGTCTGTTGGAGGTTAATTTGTACACGTGTAGATGTGTGGGGACAGTAAATCTCGTCTGTTATACAGAATAGAGAGGTTCCACTATACAAAGGTTCTTTTATATACTACCCAATGGCCTTATGGCCGGGACAAGAGCAAGTGTACGTTATAGAGAGGTGTCCGCTAATTGGGAGTTCGTTTTAGAGAAGTTTGACTGTACTTGCAAAAAACGGATGTAAACATACGCGCTGCGGTATCACAGAATATAGGCAGGTTAGACACTCACCCTAAATAATTATCCACTCTTGCTACAAGTAATACAATAACATTGAAATACATGTACATGTATGCTATTAATTAGAATCCATGTATTCTTAAGAAATTCTACTCTCCACCATACATACAATGAATAAGTATCACAATGAATAAAATCATCCAGCAATGAAACTAATTGATCAATAATGAATCCTATTAATCATAACACAGTGACATCATTTCATGAGTAATGACATACACAATAGCTATTATACTGAAGGCCTAGCTACTAGGAAGGACTGATAAAGAGATAACAATAATTCCTAATAACCATCACATACATGTACATGTACATGTACATGCAACATTAAGAACAAGTACATGTACATGTATCATAATGACTGTTAGATTTAGATCTACATGTAAAGATAGCTTATATGGGAGATTTCTGGTCTGTTATATTTTATCTACTCTACATGTACATGTACACATGTACATTGTATGTTTCATTAAATCTCCCATTTTTGTGACATATGGTCTCCCAAAATTTCAATGATCATAAACATGTGTACATGTGTCTACAAAAGTGTTGCAATATAGAGTAGAGTAGTGTTCAGGTAAAACTACACATCTATACATCCAAACAAGTACAATGTATATGTACATATATTGCATTTAAATTTGAAATTAGATCTGAGCTTAAATCCTGTTCTAAAGACACTACACAGCTGAGAGCAATGAACTGACAGCTATAGACAATATACATTAAGACTCATTCAAAATGGAGACACAATAAACCCCTTCCACTGACAACCAACCACACATGACAGTGAGAACTGAGAACCAACTACAGTAGCATTAACATCAAAATACAGACACGCCCTAACACACAAAACTAATTACATGTACATGCACACACGCAGCAAAGGATAAAAATACATTTTAAAGTGACACTTACATGTATGTACATGTATATAAATTAACAATACATCATTCATATGTACAGTAGAGTAGAGTAGAGTACCTGGTCCAGCATTGAAGAAGTGTTCTCACTAAATGCTCCAGGGGCAGCTGTCTCTCTCTCTCCCTCACTCTCTTCCTCGTCCTCATCTTCTGATGAGCTGCTGGTGTTGTCTTCACTGCTACTGATGTCACCTAATATATCAGGGACTATAGAACCAGGGCCAGACTGATGGGAACTGGTTCTACATAGGAAATGAAAATAATAACAACAATAATAATAATAATAGTAATACTAATAAACTAATAATAATAATAACAAGGAAAAAAAATTTATATAAATGCATACATTGTACATGGATGTATTTTAGGAGCTCTATTATGTGTCTCAGAGGTGCACGCTCCTCTTACCATCATCCCTGTCGCTCCTTCCGTTCTCATGAGCAAGCTCTCTCAGATGGGAGGGTTTATTAAACTACATACATTGTACATTCTACATGTATATACTATATCTTCTGTATAATATTTAAACTTTTATCTCAGACACACATAAGTACATGTATATTCTGTATTTTATTATATTAAAAAAAAAAAAAAAAAAAAAACATGGATGTATACTCATGAAATTAAAAAATAGTAACAATAAAAATGTACATGTAAATGTACAAGAAGTAAAAGCATAATATGTAAATTTATAATCGTGTACATTACATGTACATGTATGTACATGTACACGTGCATACACTACCTTGTTATTGGATTGCCATGAAGTGTGTTGGGTGCATTCTATAAAAAGAAAAGAGAAAGAGAGAGCAAAAATAAAAGATTAAAAGAAGCAGCGTAATGTGCTACATACATGTATACATATTCATCTATACTTGGAAATATAAATGTACATGTAATGACTAAGGACATTCAATAAGGAAGAGCACTGCGTGGTATAACGTGAATTAAAGAGACACTCACTTGTGAGTCCATTATGACGGTAGTGGTAGCAAGGGTTGATGTGCTGCTCGTAGCATTAGGAAGAGAGGCAGTGGAGGATTGAGAGGAAGGGAAGTGAAATGGATTATCTAATTTCTTGCAAGGAGTGTGTATAGGGGTAATGAATGGAGGAAGGTGAATCAAATCCTAAGAAGAACAGAGAGAGAGAGAGAGAGAGAGAGAGAGGCAGAGAAGGTAATATAATAATTATAAAGAAGGGAAGGAAGTAATTAAATGCTGTAATAAGATGCTTGTAGGAGGAAAGAGTTAGCAATATACATGTACATGTACTACATGTTCCATAAATTAATTTATTGTAGAGGAAAAGATACCAAAAAAGAGAATGTGATACATGTAGCAACATGTGTATATCACACATACATGTACATGTACAAGGGAATTAAAATGAGCTCTTTAATATATGTACATGTACATGTACATACATGTACATGTATGTACATGTAGTTACATGTACATGCATCAAAAGAGAGCATAATATGTGTAGCTACATGCACACATGTAGATGTACATGTAGAAGAGGATTAAATGGAGCCAGCTCTTACTTTAATAGATTGTAAATCTGATGCGTCGAGGGAAGAAGTGTCTATAAAGAGTTTGTTGGGTTTGCGTAGCTGAGGAGGAGGAGGAGGTGCTTCCAACGACCCTGAGCTCACGTGACCACCGGACGAGACAACGGAGGATGACGTGACGTGACTCGGAAACGTGGCGTGATCAGAAGAGGCGTGGTCGAAAGACTCGTACTTCTCCTTTTTCAATTTCCTTAATTTCTTTTCTTCTCCTTTAATGGCAGACTTTGGCAGACTCCCGAACTGAGCATGCTCAGTAGCAGCAGGCTCGGGCTCTTTCTTGTAACTTTGATTTTTCTTTCGTTTCTTTGAATGTCGAGATCCAGACCCGTCGGCCTGAGACAGAGGGTGAGGTAATGGCTCTTCGTTTGAAAAGTGTGAATTGATCGTTAGAGAAGTGGGCGGGGCTTTGGTTTGACGATTGACATGGGATCTGAATGCGTTTTCGAAAGGATTGGAGGAGGAGGAGAGAGAAGAAGGGAGAGGTGTGATGGGGAGGGTCCGGTCGACACCCATCAGTCGATTATGATCCTGTGTTAAGGTCTCAACGGTTGAATGATAGTCCCCTAGTATATTCTATAGAGAAAAAGAAATAGTATTTCCTAGTCATTATAATTACCACACATGTACATTTACATGTGTGTACATGGTCAGGTAGAATGATGTCAGCTATCCACAAAAACATTTTTAAAAACAGTTTGTACAGCAGCTGAATTCCAAACATGACATTGTCGTGTGTGTCCATGCAGTACATGTATATATACATGTACATAAGTATAATGACTTACTGTAGCTAAGTGCTTTAGTTCATCATTACGCTATAGAGAGAGAGAGAGAGAGAGAGAGAGAGAGAGAGAGAGAGAGAGAGAGAGAAGGAATACAGAGGTAGTAAAAGTGTGGGAACTGAGTAATAGCAAAGAACATTATAGAGAGGATGTGTGGGAAAACTAAGACATACAAAGGCTAATAGATTAAAGTACATGTACAGTACATATCAATTATCAAAGAGTGCATGTGTATATTATAATAGTCCATTACTGGTATCAGATTTCCAAATCTTGGTGCCTGCTGCTTCTTCCCTCCAGAATGTGACTATCAGAAAATAAAAAGAAAAAAACTCAGTCAGGATTCTCAATTTTTATAATTTTTTTTCTGATACATATACATGTCCTTATGTTGTGTATCAACTTTGAGCTAATTCCGATTAAATTTTATAAATTTTTTTAATTGCTCAAAAATCGGGCAACGACCAAAAGCTATAAACGTAGCCTTTGGTCACGTATATTATTATAACTTGCTAGTAATTCTCAGTATATCTCAGTATATCCACATACAGGTGTCAACAGGTGGCTAATTAAGTACATGTACAAGGTACGGACACAGTTCAAGAGGAAACATAGTTCTAAGAAAACAAGAACAAGACAAAATAACTACCACACCAACTCAATTAACTCAATGCAGGTAATGCAATTGTAGACAGTATACATGAGGAAGATATAGACTTCACAACAACTTGTAGGAAAAACATTGCCAGACGAATATGGATAAGAATGTTAATTACAGTGTACAGGAGAGAGAGGGGGGGGGAGAGGGAGAGAGAGAGGGAGAGAAAAGTAGAGAGAAGGGGCAAGATAAATGTACGTGTACAATAGGAAGTGGGGGGGAAAGAGAGGCAGAAAGAGATTAAGTGGAAAGAATTATAAAACACAATATCACATATCCAACTAGGAATGATCAATATTTACATACATAAATGTGCAGTGTTATACACTGACTAAATCACAAACACTTAAATGCAATGTACATGTGCTGAGAAAAAAATGTCACTGAGAGAGAGAGAGAGGGAGAGAGAGACAGACAGACAGACAGATAGACAGACAGAGACAGAGACAGAGACAAAGAGAGAAAGACAGATAAAGAGAGAGACAGAGAGAGAGACAGAGAGAGACAAAGAGAGAGAGACAGAGAGGAGCAAGCTACAGCAGCACAGAAAGGCTTCCTAAAAGGATATAGCAACCACAAATAACATACACTTACATACACGTACGTGTACATCAATGTGTGGCTTGAGGTTCAAGTTTTGTCTTTGTTATAATATTAAACGGCTTTTGAACTACAGAGGCAGCCCACACAAGACACATATAGCCAATGAACGAAGTCTTACACCAGTCTACAACATCACCACGTACATAATATACATGTACATGTATGTGTATGACATACATGTATACATGTACATGTACATTACAACGTACATGTATAGTGACTATGTAGACCAATAAAATGATAGATGCTAAAATAAAATTGAATTATTAAAAATGAATATCCTTCTTTCTTCATGTCTCTCTCTCTCTTGTGGTGAGTTCAAAAAATATCAAAAATTCCATGACACAATCAAGTAGTTCTCCTTGTAACTATAGTGTAATATACCCAGTCAGTTCCAGTTCCCATGCAGTCAATGTATTTTTAAGAGCACAGACCAGCTGTTGTTATCATAAAAAATTTTTTTTCATAAATCATCAAGAGATTAAATGACATCCATTACTGATGTACATGTACATGTACACAAAATTAAAAAAAAAAACCGGTATTATTGACTCTAAATAATGCCCATAAGCAGCTGCTGCATGGGAACAGCAATTATACTGTTTGTCACACACACTCATTAGGGCGTGAATAAAGTACAATTACATGTACATATACATGTACATGTAATTATGTACATGTACATGTACACAGTATGTATCCAAGCACAGTAATTGGGTAATTACATGTATTGATTAGTAAATCTGCCACTACAGTACATGTACATGTACATGTAGAGTGGAATTAGTGTACATCCAATAGTTAACAGGGTTAGCTAATGGTACACAAACTAAAAGAGTTTATTATCATAATAATGTGAAATATAATATACAATAGATGTACATGTAGGTTCATGCTCATAAAGTAATGCGGTAAAACAAACAAGCTTTGTGAGTGCATTAA